AGTTCTACCTCTGTGAGCATATGAGGGCTTCTGTCCAAATCCTTTTTTTAACTTCAGAATTTGCTTCCTGTCTTCAGCTTTTACGTTTTCATACCTCTCAGATGGCAGAACAGGGCACAGCAGCCTGCAACGCCTTCTCAACTACTGGGCATACTCGCAATTTTCTTATAGAAAATAAAGACATACTTTTAAATAAATAAATTCCATAAATATCCAAACAGCATATTGTACAAACAGCATAGTGTACAAGACAACCCTGTTATAAATTATCCATTTTATTTTATCGGAAATCTGTAGTAATTTAGAATAGAAAAGTAAAGTATTGCTTATAAACCACCACCACCCCACATTTTTTCCAGTTAAAGAAAATAGCATTCTCCATTCCTGTTCGCTGGGGACCACAAACCAAATAAAAGCAGATTTCAGGGCGGGCAGACTTCATACAGGGCACTGAGAAAATTTACAGACTTCATAATGGGTACAGAAATTTTACATTTCTACAAAGTAATACCACCCTGCTTTTTATTCTGCACCATGCCGATGGTTTCTATTTTCAGCCCTTGTTAATAGCTTATCTGAACAGCAAAGCATTAGTTAGCACTCCATTCTGTCGCCTGTCAAAAAGAAGTATCATTAACTGACCTGACACTCCAGAGACAAGCCTTCTCATACCACCCCGTTTTTGCTAAATGACCACCTTCATTTCATGGTTTACAAGAGGTCTGCAAATAGTTGAGGGATTGTGAAGCTCAGGCTTCTTTCCCCGTGGATCCCCAAAGCCACCCTCCCCAAGGAGGGAAGTGTTCCAGGATCTCCACTTCAGCCAGTGCCAATCCAAAGGAACGTCTCTGTGTGCTCAGAATGCAGGAAATCAGCATTAATCTTTATGGGCCTTGTGTTGCTGGCTCCAACCTTCCTTTTCAGCAGAGAGGAATAACTGTCTAACCTCTCCAGTTTTAATGTTATGACTAATTGTTTTGAAGGCATATTTAATTCCAAAATTGCTACAGTGAGAATTTGTTCCTCAAAGCTCACTAGAGCACCCTAATCAGGCCCATCAAATTGTAAAGGATAATTAATTTTCGGAGGGTATACAAAAGCATGATGACACACCCTAAGCAAGCACACAGCACAGCCACCCACCCTCGGAGCTCGGCAGGGGAGAAAGCAAGAAAAGAGCATTCTCCACTGCTGTTCGCTGGGGACCACGAACAAAATCAAGGTAGGTTTCAGGACAGACAGACCTCAGGAAGGGCACTGAGATTCTCCAGAATTCTCTAATGAAGATTTAAATACTCCCGCTACTATTACGTTTAGACCTTGTAACTAATTAAAATGCTCCAAAATAGTAAAGGAATACTATTAATGTAACAAAGGTTAAAATATTTTTCGATGATGAAAAGTGTTAGTACCTTAGAAATAAATGGGCACTGACAATCTTGTTAAATGTAGGTGGTTATAACAACCTTCATGGGGCATTTCATACAGGTCCACCTTGGAAAACGTTGACATCTGTACGATTTACATAAGTTGTAGCAAATGGGTAGTCTGATCCTGTGCAGGCTGAGTTGGAAGAAAGTCCCATCATGCTTCGTTTCAGGTTTCTGCAATTCAAATCCTACTGCAGGGTTTACTTCCCCTTGACTGTATTGACTGACTCCGCATCCTCCTCCTGGACTATAAATCTCTCCTTATATATAATTGAATAGTGGGTGCCAAAGTTCTAATTCTAAAATGCACTCCCTTAGTGTATGGCTGATGGCACTGCTCCTCAGCATATATCGCCACCAATCAGAATGCAAAGCCCGGGTCCCGCCCACACCACAACTGCTGCGACAACCTGGTCTTTTGCATATGGAAGCTGATTGGACTTCACTCCATTCCACACCTCAAACTCCCCCCCCCCCCCGCAAGGCAGTTGGGATTTTCAGTTGCATAACATACCTCATAGGGGAGAGGAGAATGGGTAACAATGGTTACCACTCTCCAGGTGAGGGCTACAGATAACTCAAACATACAAATGCTCTTCAGGTAGCAGAGATAAGTCCCTCGGGAGAAAACAGAGGACTCTGTCATTAAACCCTGCTGAGGTCGCCACAGGAAACTGACACTGTTTGCCCAAAGCCAGAGCACTCTCCCAGAGCCTCTTTCTAGATCCCGTTGTATTTATTTCCGCAACGGGCATTATTTCTAGTAATGTATATAAAGCAAAAACTACTGAAGCTGTAGTAATGGAAAGAACCTCACTGGGGCAGACCAGGATTGTGTCCACAACCATACAAATTATGGACTGAAAGAGACAGCAGCATTTGCAACAAGTAAGCAATCCTTGCGGTCATTTCTCATGCGTTCTTCAAGAAACTGAGAACTGCAATAATCACATTAAGCAAGTTAAACAGCCAACTCTACAAGCGACAAGGCAACGCTACTTGCTGCTATTCCCACTGACACCAAGATCTGCCTCATGGGAGCTGCAGGGTGACCCTCTGTTTTATATGGACCCCTACTGGTCTGGAACGATTCATCTCTACTGCCATTGACCATGACAGAACAGTTCTGGACAAACTGCTGCTGTTGCTACAGGCCAGGGCATCAGAGCTCTGAAAGGAGATGCACTGGCAATCACAGGACAAGCTAGAAACAGGAATTCCTACATTTGGATTAAAAAATGTAAAGCTCTTCAGGAAGTATCAATCTCTCTGTTTAAAGTGTTTCAGAATAAATCAGAATAAGGGCATCTCTTTGTGAGCATTATGGGAAAGGTTTGACAGCTGGGCAGAAACGTTACTTTGCAAAAGTCACAACGCCCCAGTCAACACTGTCTTCAAAAGAGAACCCAGACTTACGAGGTTGTCTATGTTACAGTTTCCTCTTGCAGAGCAGCACTCTCACACAGGTACACGAGTGCTCCTCAGAGCGGCTATTAAAATGTCAACACACGTCAGAACTCAGCATGTCTAGAGATCCATGCACTTTTGACTGTATTACACCTACAAGCTTAGTGACTGATATACATTTAAGCAGCAATTGAAATTGAGATCGAGGAGATAATTTATTTGGGGTCATACAGGATGGCCACTGGGGCTAAGCAGCTAAAAGAAAACAAACATTTCTGGAGTAAGAGCAGAAAGTTCACTGCTATTCTGAATAAAACAGACTCTCTCTAAGCTACACATGAGGCTGATCTGCTGATCTGAGTAAAGCCCCCTCCCTCTTCCACAGGCCCAAATGAAAAGAAACATTGGGGGGGGGGAGATCCCGTCAAAGGTTTTCTCTGCAATTTCCCTCACTCCCCCAAAATAAATAATCTGATCTATTTTAAATACTTACTGCTCCTTTGGCTATTTTGAATAGGAATTGATTTGAAAAGTTGTGTGTTTTATACCTGACTGCAAAACAACGTTTACTGTACAACTAGAGAGTCAAGGTAGATTCAGGTGGGTAGCTGTGTTGGTCTGGAGCAGCAGCACAAGCCTGATTCCAGGCATATAAGCTTTCCTGTGCACAGCACAGCTTCTTCAGATACAGAGAACAGAATCTCTTCAATCATTACACGTGGGGGGGGGGGGCCCTGCTGGTTGTCACAAAGGACCAGTTTAGAGTCAAGATGCGTAAGAACGGGTGGTTATAGTTGAGATTGGATTAAGGCAAGATTAGCATACAAATACAAACGTTAATATGTAGGTGTGAGAATGAGGTTTGAGACCAGTGGCATCTTCAAGACAAACAAAGGTCAATGATGGGTACCAGCCGAGAACTTCTCAGATTTACTGAAACAGATTTCCTTGAATAGAATATATGGGGGAGGGGGGGTTAGTTGCCAGGAAGAGCCAATAAAGTCAAGATGCCTAAGTAACTGAGCAGTAAATATAGCTAAGATTGGAATAACCGGTTAGGTAAAACATGCCATTCTCACATCTACATGTTAACGTTTGTATTTGGTCTTAAAGGTGCCACTGGACTCAAACTTTGTTCAGCTAGAGAGTCAATTTGGTGCAGACAAGGATGTGGGGGCCACAGTTGTAGCCGGAAAACAGACTTGGGCAAAGAGTTAGAGAATGTGGTCTATACCATGGAGTATAGTTCTTGTAAGTAGGAGCCTATCACGTAAATTTTGCATCATATTAATACTTCTGAGTCAGTTCTGTTTGTACCCCTGGTCGGTTCCAGATTCCGACAACCCAAAACCTACTAGATGTCCAGTCCTGTCGATTGTACCGACTTGACTCCGTGTAGTTCGCCTTGAGCCCCGGGTGAGAAAGGAAGACTACAAACGATGCAAACAAGTAACATCACAAAACGAATGAAAACGGGGGAGAGAAGTGCGCGTGCTGGCCCCGGTCTCCTCTGTGGAAGAGCCAGAATCACAATGCGCCAGGCAGGCTGCTCGACCTCTCGCCAGGGCCGGGCCTGCTGACTTGTCTGTACGCATCGCTCCGTGGTTTGGCGATCCCGTTTCGCTGACGCGTGTTCCCTATTGTCCCCACTGGGCCGTGTGAAGCCGTCGCGCATCCCAGCGACCGTACACGAAACGGGCCGAAACGAAACTGCAACCGACCGCGGCAGGACGCTCCGAAGGACCCGAGAGGCCGGGCTGTGCGCACATGCAAGGGACACCCGCCGCCGCGCACGCGGAAATCGCCCCTTGCGCGCACTTGTTTGGTAGGCTCCCGTCTTCCGCGATCCGAGAGGCCGAGCGGGGGAAACGAGGGCCGCAGACCGCACCGTCGGCAATCTGCGCACGCGCGCCGCCGAGGCAGGCCACGCCCCCGTCCTGAGCGTGGCTCCCGCGCGGGCTCCCTCCGCCGGGAGAACTGGGCGCCGCCCCCTCCACGCGCAGGCCGGGCGTAGCGCCACAGAGCGCGTGCGCAAAGGCCCGGGCGCGCCAGGCCCCCCTCTTCTCTTCCCCACCCCCTCTGCGGCCCTCGCGCGTTGCTCAGGAAACGCGGCCCCGCCCAGTTGCGCAGAAAGGGCGCCGGCCCGTCGCCTCCCGCACTCACCGGGGCCCGGGAGGGTCCTGCGACGCTCTCCTGAGGGGGACGGGAGACGACGGCGGCCGCCCGTGGTCCCGCCGAGTCCTATCGGGCGGCCGCGCGCGGCCCCGGCTCCAGCCAATCGCGTCTCTGCCTCCCCTGGCGGCTCCGCCCCGCGCTCGCCCGCGTCTCTCCGCAGCCTCGTGGCCAGGAACAGTCGCTCCCCCCACCCTGGGAGGCTCTTCCTCCGCCGCCCACTATTGTGCCCCCCCCCCACAAAGTGTTTGCAGACGGAAGGGGGAGGAACTGGACTTATTCCCCTTGCCCTTTGGAGCGGCTGACAGTCTCCTTTCCCCTCCCCACAGACAATCCACTGCTGAGAGAGAGCTCTTTCCGGGACTGCTCCTTGAGATGAGAGAACGTGTGACTGGCCCAAGGTCGCCCAGCTGGCTGCAGGTGGAGGAGGAGGCGTTGGGAATCGAACCCGGTTTTGCCGGGTTAGATTACAGGAGCCCCTGGACTCTAAATGTGTTGCACGGCTTCAGACCGACAGGGCTGACCCACTGGACCACCTATGGTGCCCCCTTAGGGAAAGCAGCAGGTGGCACCTGGCTCGGGTCCTTCGCGCCCCCCGTCGGGGGGAAGGCGCTGCAAGCGGCGGGTCCGAGAGGCGAGGGCGACTCCGAGGAGGTGGAGGAGGAGGGCAGCTGCGGGGGCCGCCGGGCTCCTTCTGGCCCTGGGCGGCGGGAGTGCGGCCGGCCGGCCGGCCGTCCCCGCCCCTGGAAAGGCCCGCCCGGCTCCCCCG